GACTCATGGCAGCCCAGCTCCAGGTTGAGCCGTTGTCCAGCATCTTAGCTGTGGAGGGCAGTGTCACTGGCCCTCATATGTGGGATCCGAACCGGGGCCCTCCGGCATCCCAAGCGAGCCCCCAACCATCGCGCCACTCGGCCGGCCCCCTCTGCCCATTTTTTAATTGGATTGTTTTCTTGTTGAGTTGGAAAATGTTATTTAGGGGAAGAAAATTGCATGGAGCCTTATTTACCCAGCACTGTTGATATGACCTCAGAAGGCTGGTGCAAAGGGAAGGGGATGGGCTCTGGGGTTAAACAGTTTGAGCCTCAGCTGTAGTATTTTCTAACTATGAGACCTTGAATGAGTTTCTTAACCTCTCTCAGCCTCAGTTTCTCTGTAGAGGTTGTGAGGATTCAGTCATTCAGCAAGCATGTGCTGAACACCTACTATGTGCCAAACACTATTCTAGGACCCATTGAGAACAAGACCCAGCCCCCGCTCCTTCTTGGAGCTTCTAGCGGGCAGCATGCAGTAGTGCATGGGAAGCACTAAATAGGACACTATGATGGAAGTGCCCATAGGTGTCCACTCCATCAGTTCCTCTCAATGAGGCTCTGAACATTACTTTTGTTTTAAATGACTGCAAAGTGTCGTCATACAGTGATAGCCTTGAGGTTTGTCGAGTGGGTAGAACTCCTTGCCGTTGAACTGAATGGCCCCAGATGGCTATACTTTTCTCACTCTTCTGTCTCTTCCCTCTGCTGTTGCTCCTTTTCTCTTTCCATGGTGCATCTGTGTCCACTATAGATGCTTTCTTCTATGTCACTTCTAGAAAGAGCTAAAGATTCCAAGGAAACTTCCCCAGTTGGTTAATGGAGGAGCCGTATTTTCTATCCTCTGTCAGGCCAGAGAATAGCTACAAAGATGCAGAGATTATATCTGTTTCAGTTTACTTTGATCCAACAAATATATAAGTGTTAGCTATAGTAATAACAGTTCAGAGCATTTGCACAGCTTAGTTAACTAAAGATCTTTCTCGAGTATGACCATATCTAGTCCTCACAGTGGCCTGGTAAAACTTTTACAGCAACCTGGGCTTCCCTTATCATAACACTTAGCCCACTGAATTGTCTTTGCTGGTTTCCTGAGTGTCACCCCTCTAGACTGGGAGCCTGTCAAAGGCTCAGTGAGTCACCAGTATGCCAACACAGTCTGGACCAGAGTAGGCTTCCAAGAAAGTGTGTTGGATGCATGCATGTGAAATCAGGCTGACTTCTGGGTGCCAGGGATGAATAGGTGCCCTGATTGGTGACACACAGCAGGTACTTTCTTGCCTGGAGGCGCTCTCAGTAGATGAAGCAGTTGCAGCCCAGGGTACTGAGCACTGCAGCTGAGGTGTGAGAACAGTGCTCAGAGAACCCAGAGGAGCAGGCAGCTGATAGCCAGGGGTGCGGGAGGCACAGAGGTTCTGGAGAGAGCTCCTGGAAGAGGTGCCCAGTTTTAAAGCTCCCTGACCATGCAGTCACTGTTCTTTCCCAGGGCCGGCTGACAGATGGAAAAGGGAAGACCATCGACTGCAAGGACGCCATCTTCATCATGACCTCCAACGTGGCCAGCGACGAGATCGCACAGCACGCACTGCAACTGAGGCAGGAAGCTTTGGAGATGAGCCACAGCCGTATCGCCGAGAACCTTGGTATGGCATATGGCCTGAGCTGTCGGCAACTGGGCAAGTGCCTAGGCCACCAGCACATCTCCTGGGGGCAAGGATGGCATTGGGGCACCAGGCCTTGGTGAGGGTCCAGGTAGGCAGTTTTGTCCATAGCTGGCAGTGACCAGACACCAGGCACCATACCAGATAGTGGAGAGATACCGTGCCCTCACTTCCTCAAGAAAGTGACAGGAGGGTTGCAGACAGATGAATGCATAGAGCCACCCCAGGGTGAGGGGCCAGGAAGGGGCTAGGTCTTTAGGGACTGAAGAGATGCATACTCAACAGGTAGAGATGCTTTGGTGCAGTGAGGGGACAGCTGATCAGAAATTATAAGGAGATGGATACAGCCTTTTTCAGCCAGGGAGGCTTCCTGTGTAGACAGGCTGGAGAGTGCTGGAAAGGAGGAGTGCATCAGGGAGAAGGCCACATCTGTCAGCCTTCCATTTGGAATTGAACCCTGCAGCCCCCTTCTTCCAAGTTAGAACTCAAGTCTTGGCCCTGACTCTCCTCCCCTCCCCTTCCCCTCCCTCACACAGCTTCCACCCTAAGGTCCCCCGGGTTTTGTAGCACATGAGAGCTAAAAGGGCCTCAGAAAGTACCCAGTCCATTCCTCTCATTGTTCAGATAAGAAGACCAGGCCAAGGCACAGAGAGCCTGAGATGTTGACCAGGATCACACAGACCATCAGGGGCAGGACCAGGGCTCTTCATGGATAGGCCAAAGGGCAGGCACAGTTCCCAAAGCCCCCTGTGGCAATAGGCAGTTTATGATTCTGTCTCCACAGGGGATGTCCAGATTAATGACAAGATCACCATCTCAAAGAACTTCAAGGAGAATGTGATCCGCCCCATCTTGAAAGTAAGAGGTCTTTGTCCTTCCTGATGGAACCTCAGATGGAGGGGATTCCCTTAGCCATCCTAAAGCTATGGAAGCCCCGTATCTTTCCCATTGGGGTTCAGTAATTGCCTTTATCCCTATCTGAGTCACTGAGTTTACCCCACTCCTTACCTGGCCCCATAGGCTCACTTCCGGAGGGATGAGTTTCTGGGACGAATCAATGAAATCGTCTACTTCCTCCCCTTCTGCCACTCGGAGCTCATCCAGCTAGTCAACAAGGAACTGAACTTCTGGGCCAAGCGAGTAAGAGTGGGGTCTGCCCATGGGTTGGGGGGGACATCTGCCCACTGGGAACACCACCTTCCAAAAGGTGGAGCACAGTGGTGTGAGGCCAGTGGCCCTGGGGCACACAACCTCTCACTGACCCAGGCCTCAGGCATGAGTGGTGAGAGGTGGAAAGTGCTGAGCCACATGCAGGCGTGCTCCTGTCTGACCTTTCACAGGCCAAGCAAAGGCACAACATCACACTGCTCTGGGACCGCGAGGTGGCAGACGTGTTGGTCGACGGCTACAACGTGCACTATGGAGCCCGCTCCATCAAGCATGAGGTGAGCACAGCGGCCTGAGAGAAGTGAGGCGCCCCCTCATCTCCCTTCCCAGAGCCCCCAGACCCAACCCCTGGGCTCCAAGTCTGGAATTGTTCATTCCCAGAGCAGATGCCCCTTGAGAACACAAAACACAAGATGATCAAGTCAAACCCCTTTCCAGAGAGTAACCAAGTATGAACCCCTTCCAGATGGGAAACTGAGTTGGGAACCTCAGAAACTGACATCATTGAGTCGTTAGCACAGTCCTGCAAGCTGTGTGTTATTAGACCTTTGCAGATGAGAAAACTGAAGCTCATTGTAAGTACTTGTCCCAGCAGTAAGTGACAGAGCCTGGCCTCCATGCTCAGGCCACAGGCCGGCCCAGGCCTTGGCAGTGATGACCACTTCACTCTCCACCTGCAGGTAGAGCGCCGTGTGGTGAACCAGCTAGCGGCTGCCTATGAGCAGGACCTACTGCCAGGGGGCTGTACACTGCGCATCACTGTGGAGGACTCAGACAAGCAGCTGCTCAAGAGTCCTGAGCTGCCCTCACCCCAGGCTGAGAAGCGTCCACCCAAGCTGCGGCTGGAGATCATTGATAAGGACAGCAAAACCCACAAACTGGACATCCGGGCACCACTACACCCTGAGAAGGTGTGCCACACCCTCTAGCTACCTGCATATACGTGCCCTCAGCCTCCAATAAAGGCCCCTCGGCTGTGGCATCACTACTGACCTACCTTCCCCTCATACCTCTCACTCCTCTCCACCCAGCCTAAGGCCTCTTACCTCCTCACAGCCCCTGCAAAACCCCTCCTTAGCTTCAGAGCCCAGAGCAGAAGTGTTGCCCACCCCTGGCCCCCTCGTTGTGGGTCCAAAACTTGCTAACAAGTCTCCAAGAGGGAGGTCCCTTGTCTCTGCCCTTCAGCATGATCCCCGTGCCCCATAGTCTCTGGAACATTGTCGTGTTCCCTGGAAGCTCAGAAGTATGGCAGCTAAGAACAGATCTGGCTGGAAGAAGACAGGGACCAGACTGACCCGCCACCCTCTGCTGGCTTCATGCAACTGAGCCCCCAGATTGTCTCCATAGAGAGTAGAGAAAGAGTGCAGAGGCCTGGACATAGAAGTTCTGCAGTTTAGGCTGTAGCTACCTCTTCCCCATGCCCTAAAATTCCAAGGGAAAGGGACCCATAGAATCCTTCCACTTCCCACTGCTATATCATAGCTCCTGCTCCTCCTCACCCCATGTTCTGAGCTCAGGCCAGCATAGGACACCTCTAGGAGGAAGGCTGACTGGGCCACTCCACCAGCCTACTCTGGAACTGGACAGTAGTACCACAAGACCGAGCAAGTTAAGTTCTTTGGGGCCTCCTTCAGGGGACTAACAGCATAGATGTTGGGGAGCTGTAGGGAGAGATAGGTGGCCATGAAGTCTGCCTCAGCCCTGTCTCTACTGTCCCAGCTAAGTTAGCCTGGAATAAGCAGCTCCCCCGTGCAGCCTCCATGTTTTAACCTCAGCTTAGGAAGGCACAGCAAGGCCTGGTGCGTTCTTGGGCAGCATCTGCAGTAGCTTCTACCGTGGATATCACCTCGTCACCTTCCCCCTGCAGGGCCGTTTTGGAACTCTTTTTCGGTGTTAGCTCATCTGTTTCAGGAAGCAGAAGATGGGGCAGTATTCAAAGTCTGTTGGGTGATGGAAGAATGCCATAATATGGTGGGTATAAGGCAGTCAGCAGTCAGGGCGCGGGCTCCAGCAGAGGCTCCAGCAGTCACCAGCCGGCCCCTCAAGGAGCCGTGTCTGCTTTTCCCTACCTCAGTTGCGTCTATTTTATTTTTCTTCTTGTCTTGTAATAATGTGAGACTTACAGAAAGTTGCAAAAATAGGAGAGTTCCCATAAACCTTTCACCTAGCTTCTCCTAATATTAACATCTTACAAAACCATGGTATAATTATTAAAATCAGGAAATTAATAGTCCTACTAATTAATCTGTAGACATTCAAATTTGGCCAGTTGTCCCATTGATGTTCCTTTTCTGGTCCAGGATCTAACCTAGGATTCGCGGTGCATTTTATTGTCATGTTTCCTTCCTCTCCTTCAGCATGTGATAGTTCCTCCATCTTTCTTTGCCTTTCATGACCTTGACACTTTTGAAATGTCCAGGCTGGTTATTTTGTGGAATGTCCCTCACTTTGGGTTCAACTACTGTTTTTACATGATTAGATTGAGATTCTGCACTTTTGGCAGGACTGCCCCTGATGCTGATCCCTTCTCAGTGCCTCATAGCAGGGGATAAAGTTAACTTTGATCACATGGCTGAGATGTATGTGTCGAGTTTCTCCACTATCAAATTACAAATTTCTCCTTTGAAATTACTAAGACTCTTATGGGGAGATACTTGGAAGTTGTGCACATATCTTATTTACCCTTAGAATTTTACCCACTGATTTTAGCGTCCTCCAGTGGTTTTTGCTTAAGCAAGTATTAATGTTCTATTTGCCTAACGATGGCTTTGTGTTTCCTTATTCCATCTATATTTATTAATTGGTATTCTACTGCAAGGAAGACCTGTCTCTTTTTCTCCATTTATTCAATAATTTATATCAGTATTAACTAATGGATATTTGTTTTCTTCTATGGGTTATAATCTAATACTAATAGTTTATTTTGTTGCTCTTTTTGGCCTACATTTGGCCATTGGGAACTCTTTCAAGTTGGCTCCTTTGTTCTTTCAACATTGCCCCCCCCTTTTTTTTTCTTTAAGCACTGTCTTACTTTCTCGCACCACAAGATGTTCACTCATATTTTTCCTGTCTCAGCTCTGACATGAGCCATTTGTTCAAACAACACCTGGTTCCTTTTATTTGAGAATGGCACTTAGAAACCAAGATCTGGGCACTAGGTGTATTCATTGCTACTGGAGTGTCATTGCCTCTAGGCCCTTTCAGCACAGAGCTAGGAAATATACGTGTGTATGTTAACATATCACATATATCTGAATTTATTATTCTGTCTATCTGTATATTATCAAAAACCATAAGTTCTTATTGATACCTGCAGTTCCAATACAATGCCATAGGATTTGTGACTGCCATTATTATGATTTTACTATACTTTTTCTGCTTTTCCTCTCCTGTTATCTGTTTTTTTCTTTCACTCTTACACAGATTTCTCTTAGAGGCTCTGATTAAGTCAGTCAGTGGCCATCCTGTGTGGAACATTCCTATTGGATAATGTTCAATTTTTTTTTTCTTCTTTTCTTTTGCCTGGCTGTCAGTCCTTTGGTTCAATTAACTGGCCAGGAGCAGCAGGCATGTAACTCAAAACCAGATAATTTTTATACAAGAAAACTCAATAGCCACCTTTCTGAAAGGAGGGTAGGGGACTCAGATTCTGAGGAACTTAAATATCACTTCTTCTAGGGATTCTTAGCTAGACCTCCTAGGTGATGTTGGACCATACTTCCATACATCCTAGGCAATACTAGGTAATACAAGTAATACTTACATTACTTGTTCTATGTCTGTCTTTGTCACTGGAATGTAAGCTCCAAGAGGACAGATACCCAATTGTTCAGTTCACTGTCCTATTCATGGAACTTGGCATAGTGCCTGCACATGGTGGCTACTCCAGGTATTGGGATGAGTGGCAGGCCCTGCAGCACAGATCTTCACAGTAAGTCCCAGCACAGAGAGGTATTAGTTTGTTCACTGAGCACAGATTTATTTATCATGTGCTTGTGGCTAGGCAAGAGGACTTGCCAGTATTGGACCCTTGAGTACATAGATGTAGGTACCTAGTTGAGTATGTTGGAATGCATAAGGCTGGACTTGGAAATACAGTTAGGCTGTATTGTTCGAAAAGAAAAACTCAAAGATGCATAGTGATTGTTTTAGAAATTTAGAAAACAAACGCATTTAAACCATAAGAAAACAGGAAATGGACTAATAAAGTTAATAAAGTAGGAAACTAAAAAAAAAAGCGTAAATAGAAAAATGATTCTTTGAAAACACCAATAAAATAGATAAAACCTTTTCAGCCTAATAAAAGGAAAAAGAGCAAAAAAAAAAAAAACAAGATTAGGAATGAGAAATCAGACATAACTGTGTGTGTGTGTGTGTGTGTGTGTATATATATATATATATATATATATATATATATATGGAAGAATTTTAAATAATTTTAGTAGTACTCTATGGAAACAAATTTGAAAACAGCAAATAATTTCCTAGCAAACACTGACCCAAGAAATAATTTGAATAGACAAATTACCAAAGAAGAAATTGGAAAGATGATTAAAATTTTATCCTTTTAGAAGATTGTATTCTATTTAAACTTTTTTATTGACCTATATATGGAAAAATGCACAAATCATAAGTATGCAGTTCAGTGAATTATCACAAAGTGAACAAAGACCACTGTGGCAATCACTTATCCCCAAAAATAGATGAGTTGTAATTTTTAATTATTATATAAACTGCTTCAGACCGTGGGAAAAGATGAAAAGATGCTCAGCTGATTTTTAAAGGTCATTGTACCATTAATACTCAAATGAGATAAAATGCTGAAAAGAATACCATAGCCTAACCTCACCTGTGACTATAGATGCACAAATCCCAAAGAAAAGAAAGTCGAATTGTACACTGTGATCACATAAGGTTTATTTCAGCTATCCAAGCCTCAGTATCAGGAAATTTAATATAATCCACTACATTAAGAATTTAAAGATTATTTAAATGATTATAGATTATTATAAATATTAATTTTCTTATTTTGATAATATTATGTAAGAAAATTTCCTTGGTTTTTGAAAATATACATTGAAGTATTCAGAGATAAAGGTAAAGATAACTTGCAGATGTCTCAGAAAACTTCTAAATTATATATATGCATGCACAGATATATAAACCAGGGGTGCCAAAAAATGTATACAAGTGGACACTTTGGTCAACACTGCTCAAGCAGAAGTTCGCCATAATCAGAAGTACCTGGACGCTGATGGTAACCACTTTGAGCACCTCTTGTAATTGCAGAAGTCAAATGTGACTTCTATTCATCTTTTCTTATTGGGATATATTAAGCATTACAATTTTAATACAGTTTTTTCCTTTCTTAAAATGTGTATACATTTTTGTTGACACCCTCTGTATGTATATACACACATACATATATACACACAGAATGGTAAAACGAAAGTAAAGTACTAACATCTGGGAAATCTAAGTAAAGGGTATACAGGAACTCTTCGTCTTGGTTTTGCAACTTTTCTGTAAGTAAAATTATTTCAAAATAAAGTTTTTTAAATAAAAGGAGATAAATTTTATCAGTATATGCTGAAAAAGCATTTGATAAAATGTTACAGCTTTAAATATGATTTGATGAAATTAAAACTAAAAGAAACTATGCATCACGAACCAATAGCAAACATTTTTTAATTGTAAATACTAAAGCTATTTCTGTTAAAGTCTGAAATAAGACAAGAGTCAACATTGCTTTAAAAATGTAGGTGAAAGCAATTAAGCAAGAAAACTAAATAATGGATATAAATATTGGAAAATAATAAATTATCTTGTTTTGCCAATATATGACTGTATTTAAGAAATCTACAAGGCTATAGTAAAACCTGTTCGCATTAATAAGGAAATCTGGTAAGGATCTAAATAAAAGATAAATGTACAAAAATCAACGTTTTTTTAATTCTAGCAATAATCAACTAGAAACAACAAAGGGGAAGCATTTCTTTCATAATTGCAACAAATAGGTATATATATTTTCTCATATATATTGGGTTGTCGGAAAAGTCATGACGCATTTTTGCAACAAGAAAACAAAAAAAATATGTCATGACTTTTCTGACAACCCAATACATAAAATACTTCTGGAAAAATTTTTAAAAATATTTTTGGAAGAGAGGAATTGGGTAGGGAGAGGATAACAATGGAAGGGAAAATTCACTATATACATATTTACACTTTTTTTTTTTTTAAGATTTTTATTGGGGAATTGGAGGGATGGGAACAGTGCTAGGGAATTGGGGGAAGGGGAACAGACAATTTGCTGTCATTTTGTTCTTCAGTCTAGTTGTGGAGGACGTTGCTTCACTGGCCCAAGTTGGCACCATCATTGCGCTCTTCCTAGGCGAGGCAGATCAGTCGCCGGCTTCTGGACGGCCGCTCACTGTGGCTGCTGGCCGCTCACACTGGCTGCTGGCTACACACGGTAGCCCATGGCAACCCACTGCCAAAGGGGCTGCAGCCTACGCCGTCGCCGGCAGCTCACAGCAACCCAGCTCCAGGTTGAGCTGTTGTTCAGCATCTTAGCTGTGTAAGGCAGTGTCACTGGCCCTCCTATGTGGGATCCGAACCGGTGCCCTCTGGCGTCCCAAGCCAGTTCTTAACCATTGCGCCACTCAGCTGGCCCCATATTTACACTTTTAAATGTTGAATCATATTAATGTGTTGCCTATTCAAAACTATATAATACTAAATTTAACAAGAGAAAATAAAATTGAAGGGCTTAAAACAAGATCTGACAAAAAGACATACCAGATTCTTGGAAAGGATGACTTAATATCATTAAAATGTCAATATGTAATTCAATGCAAACCTAATTAGACTCAACAGCATTTTTTTAATTTAATAAAATTAATTAAAGTCATGTTACACTATAGTATCCAGAGGTGAAGCCTTATGGAGCTATTGTTTTCTGGATCTAGGCTTTCAGGAGATACAAGCTACTACTACTGTCAGTTACTACAATCCCATCTTGATACTATGCAAATTAGAAAATAAGTAAATTTAGCTACCAGCCGCATAGACACTACATACAATTATAAGAGAAAAGAAAGAGGAGTTATTGTCTGACTAGAGGGTAGACTATGTGGATGTGGAGAAGAGAAAGTGGAAAATTAAAGAGACAAGTTTTCTGATTTCATAGTGCCTTGAATGGCATGCTAAGGGAATGAAATGACCATATTTGTGTTTTAAAAAGATCCTTTGATTGCATTATGCAGAATGGTTTGGAGTGACAGCTGACCAATATACAACAGAAGGAGTAATTCAAGGCAAACTTCCTTACCACCTCAAGTATAAAAAATATTGAATGTGTAACCAAGGGGCGTAAAAAACAGAACAACACACAACTGGACTTGAAACTAAAATATGGGAAATCCCAAAGTGCCAGACATGAATGGGAACCCAGAATTCAGAGGGTGTGTGAGAGAAGGAGGTCAAGGAGTTCATAGAGACTTGGGACCAAGATGTAAGCTGAGTGCTAGGGCTTCAACATGGAGACAGGAGTCTCAAAGGATCGCT